CAAGCGCTGGGTGCTGGTTGAGGCAGCGCTGGGCGATGGCGCGCATGGGTGCGCGACGGGCGAGCGGACCACGCTGGGCGTGCGTAGCATGCACGGAGACGCACGGGCGATGGGCTGCGACACGTGGGGCGACGCGGGTGATGTCCTAGACCGCGTAGGCATAGGAGTGCTAGGCGACGAGTGTGGGGCGCACGGCGACACGCACGAGGCACAATGCAAAAATAAGCTGGCAAGCCTAATCCTCGTAGGAATAGGCAAGGCGCGAATACTAATCCTCGCAGGAATAGGAAAAGTAGTTGAGTGCCGGAACGCGCGTGGGAGATCGGTGACAGGAGTAATCCTCGGAAGATCAGGAAACGTAACCGGGAGCATATTCCTAGTAGGAATAGGAATAGTGGATGTGAGCTCGAAGCACAATCCTACAAAGAATAGGAATGGCGCATGCGGGGCACGAGACCTTAAGCCTCAAGGAGAGAGGACACACACTCATGGGCGAAGGCGGTGCAGCCCTAGTCCTCGAGGACTAGGGCGAGGCGTGAGGCGGCGCGCGGGTTTGAGGCGGCTAGGGCAAGAGGCGGCTGACTTTGAGTGCAAGCAAAGGAAGAGAGTTGAAGATCAAGTTAATAAGGACTCTAGTATATTTACTTTCCATGTTGCTTTTATTTATTAGTAGTAGAAGATATTATGAGATCTAGTTAGATTAGAATTAGATTTACTTTGCACCTATAAATACCCTATGTACTCTTCATAATTGGAAGTCTTGGAGGAGTTGAATAGAAAAGAACGTTTGTTCGAAACCGTGTGTTGAGAGTCGTGAGATTCGATCATGCAATCGAATTGGTGAGGCTAAGACCTGTTTGTTATGTTTTTGTGCTTATTTTTATGTGTTTATATGTGTCATCGTGTCATTTTTAGGTTCGTTTTAGTGTCGTCCGGTCCATTTTGTCGTTTTCCGTGTGTTTTCGTGTTTTTCGTTTTATTTTGTATTTTGGCATACTTGTCTGTGCTTTTGATATATTTTCAGGATTTTCCCGAGGGTTAAAGACGGGTCATAACGAATCCCAAGAGACGAACATTTTCGAGTCATTCGTGCGAACAATTCCTGGTCAAGTATGTCGAGCCCTTAGTCGAGCCGCACACGCTGCAGCCCCGCACGCCCATCACATATGCCGCAGCCTCGCACGTTCATCACACCACTCGCAAGCTCGCACCTAGCCCCGCGCCCCAGCGCTCAACATCGCACACTCGCGTGTACGCGGAAGTCCCTGCGATGTCGAGAGCTCCGCATACGCCCGCACGTACACGCCCGCGAGCTCGCCCCATTTTCCGCGCTATCGAGAGTGCGGCATTGTCCAGCGCAGCAGCCACTCGCGCGCTCGCGGCTCTTTCCACGTGGTCGAGAGCACGACGTCCGCCTGCCCGCGTGCTAGCAAAAGTAGCTGCGCCATCGAGAGCCCCGTGCGACCCCTGCCTAGTCCACGCTCGCGAGCTCGCCGAGAGATCCGCGTGGTCGAGAGCCTCACTTGCCCGTGCACCTGTGCAGA